AGAACAACTTCCTAGGATCATCCAGTTTGCTTCAAAATCAAGTAGGAGGAAGAAAGGAAACCATATGATCTGGAATTAACAGGGGACAGTGAGGTCTTTTCACCACCTATTAGTTCTTTCCTCACTTTCTTCTTCTTTTTTCTCGCATCCTTGCCTAACTTGTGATGACGTAGTGCAAATTTTGGAGGGTTTTACGCACTGAATGATTTGTGGCGCGTAATGACATTTGTGGCATTCTCCTTTTATGCTCTTGTGCTTCTTGGCTCTTGCCCTCTCATGCTCCTGTCTCGCAACACACATGATTCAGTAGTTGTGACCTAATACAACGACACCCTCACCATTGATTCCATATTTGGAAGGCACGGGTCACCAGCAGCATTACCGTCACTGTCACTTCATCCTCATTGGACTATGCTGCCTTTGTGTGCGTGTGTGTGTATGTGTGTGTGTGATAAGTGTATGTGGTGAGTGTAATTTCAATTATTCACAGTGAATTGCTTGTGGTTGATAAAATAAATGCGATTGAGATCGGGAGCCACTCGATATAAGTGGATAGGATACAGCATGAGGGTGTGCAAAAGACGAGCTCGAGAAACAAGAAGCACAGAGAAGGAGGTGTATGAATGGAGGGTGCTGCTCTTGACGACACAGAGCTGCGCATACCATAGGTCTCCAAATCACATGCCACAAAACTGATTAGAATGTGTGAGAGCTTGTACTTTCGAATCGGATGTAATGTGATATGATGTGAGGTGGAAATCGTCGCAACCCCACTTAGTTATCCTCGTCTTCATCAGCACTCTCTTTTGCCTCCTCTTCTGGTAATATTTCTCTAATCTGGAAGTGACTACCACCCAGTACTAGACAACTATGTGATCACTTGGAAATGGGAAATTTGGAACTAGAACTGAGAACTAGATGCTTATGACCATGATTAAAAATATCAAAATGCTTTATGTAATTACTTTTTACGGCTTATTTATATCTACTCGGAAAAGGTTCTATTAGATTGCTTAGATGATTATTTTAAAGGGCAAACAATTTTCCGCATTTTTTCATTAATCATTATGATAAATGTCTAAGCCGATTTGGCTCCCTCCTTCCCTCTTGGCAGCATACCCTTCTGGTTCACCCTATGGCCTCCTAACTATTGTTAATAAATCTTCTTCCATGTTTCTACCGCCTTTAGAGAATTCACGGAGGATTGCGGACGAGTTGGTCTGTATAATCTTGGTGCAGCAGTTTGAGCTTAACAGAATTTTTGGATACGCCTGACCTCTAGAAGTAAATAAATGATAAAAGGGACAAAAAGGATTATTTACTGATCCTATTTAGTGCCTACTTACCTACCTACCCTTCACAAAGTGACTAAGTTGTCTATTAAGCTCAGTACATGAAGTGCCTTTGAGCTACCATTATCATACATACTAAACGAGGATGGAAGTGGGGGGATAACCTCCGCAACGCATCCAAATCGGATGGATGTTGTCAGTCCTGATATCCAAGTCGGAACCGATAATAGTAGAAAGCGTTTTCCACACTTCCCTTGTCGACTCTCGGAGCTATCACAGTGGAGGAAATTGGTCCTTGATCCTGTCTAAGTGTTGACTGGATTTCTTCTGTCTGATGAACCGAATAACCTCCGCAGTTGGATTTAGGAACTGACATTAAGGGAAATCTGTGTTAAAAATACCCCTACTCTCTCTCATGTTCACATTTATTTGCCTTTGTAGTTTTTACGTGAAAGATACCGACCCCTCCGGCTGTTTAGCTTCAATTAAAGACACACATAGAATGAGGAGTAAATCATGCAAGCACACCAAAATAAACGCTAAAAAGTAATGGCCAAAGAAACAAAAATCCAGCGTGCAATTGGAAGCGATTTGTAAGGCGTGCAATGCCAAAGTAGAAATAACATTGTGAGGCGTTTAAGTCAAACTGGAAGCCTTAATTATGCAGAGCGAAAAGGAGGGCTACAGTGATGGTGTTACATGTAATTCTGAGTGCTAGGTGTGATGGCAGTGGTACACTTTTTGTGGGCCGGTCAGTCAAATCCAGCACAAGACACGGGTAATCAAGGTTGCAGGCAAGAGACGTAATGCGCCCGTTGAACGGTATGAAGTAACTGAATCTTCTCCTGCAAAATGCTGCAAAATCGTATTGACACAGATTTTGTGGTCAAATTGCATATCCTGCAAATTTTCATTTCATTTGAATGGCAAAAGAGACCAAGTGTTAAGAGAAAAGTTACCGTGGGCAGGTTTCCAGTGCGTGTGCAAGTGAAGGTTCCATGCATCATCAGTGCCTCAGATGCACGCTACTTCAGACGTTTTAGCTGGAGGACTGGAGAAGGGATATAGCAACTAAGTCATAAAGGCTACAATAACAACAGAGACCTTTGATCCACAATTTGCCAAAGCACAAAGGCTACTTTACATTTTCGTCCCCTTGACGCATTGGTCGTATGCATCATATGGCATTGATAGAGGTAACTGAAGTGAGGTACTTTAAATCTGCCCTATGTGGCCTGCGTTAGGGAATGTGTTCTCAAGACTTACCACGGTGATCGAGTGTGTGCCAACATTCCTGGCGTTTATTAATTGGTTGTTTTTCCTGTCTGGCCCAATCTGAAGGACAACTCAATCCATTAGTGAAAAAGAAGGGTAGTAAATGAGACAATAAATCATTGAAGTATTATTAAGTACTGGTAGCAAAAAAACACCAAAGAAACTTTCTACCCTCAGTGTAATGAGATCCCTTTCCAATTTTCTAACTATCATTAGGTAGGTTGTTTGAAACACTGTAAGGTCAAGAGAATGAGGACAAGTTAGAGGGCGCAATCTATGCAACGCTTTATTAGACCGTAGCTCTCTACGATTATGCAAGAAAACCAGCATATTTAGTACCGAAAAGCCACGAATTTATCTGTACAATCGGTTGCCGATTACAAAAAGGGAACCTTGGATGCTAAACAGTAAATCGGGATGGATAAGTAAATACGGTTTGAAGTAGCAGCACTCTAGGTCTTGTTTTTTTCAAACTATGGAATGCGATTAGGTAAAATTTTCGGTCTTTGAACTTTTTTCTCTTAGAGTGAAGTACATGACACTATTTATCATTCGAAGATAAAATTTCACTGAATGGATTTGTTCATTTCAAAGAGGATTGAAGAGCTTGCCGTTGCATTCTGTAAAACAAATTTTTAAGTTATCAGTGGATCATTTTAAACAACTTTCACAAAAACGTTGCAAGCGAATCAACCTCTGTGCCCATAACTGAATAATATTGTAAATCGCGATATGACGAATCGTTTTTAAAACAAACGAGTAGGATTTAATATGCACGGTGAATGGGTGCGGATATACATGCTACTTATTAATTATAAGTAAAAAACGACGGTAGAATAACAAATTTTCCTAAAACTCGATTGCTAAAAAGTTATGTAGCGAGGCAACGAACCATATGGTTTATTTTAAGTATTTTATTACCAAGTTGACCGCATAAGATGGTGCGGATCTTCATCAATAAAACCCCTTCAAATTATTAGAATATTACGCATATAAATTGATATTGCGGCTTTTTTGTGTAAAAAATTATTCAAACAAAAGCGTTTTGTCAGTTTTTAGAAGAAAAAAAGAGTAAACTAACCTCATGACTAAGAGGGCATTGTCAATTTATGGGAAGATGGGGATTTCTGAGTTCCTGTCTGTAAAATTCATTTTTTCACGGTGTCCGATGCTCTCTTCTAACTACTCCTCTGGGTCCAGGCGTCTAAAGCCAAAGTTGAAAGGAAATCACAACAAAAGGAAGTATACTAGACCGCAAGAGGTAATTTTCTTACATTTTTAGGATTAAGCTAGAGTTTGAATTTCCCATGCACGGAGCAATGGCAAAGCCTTAAGGAGAAGATGTTTTCAAAGCCTAAAACGCTAAATTTGGTCAGCCAAATCGTCTACTTAGACCAACCGATTTGCGAGAGCTGGCTTAATAATATCGACTTGGGATCCAACATTCCCTCCAACATGTGAGGCACATCGATATAACTCATATTTCTCGACAGGTTTCCCCATAAGATCCAAGCGTAATTTCTCCTTAAATCAGAATAAAATATTCCCAATTAAGGACCACAATAAAATGTTATTTATGTTTATTAATCCCAGGGATGGGCCGTCTAAAGGTCTCACAAACGGTGCTAAGAATTATTCTATAGAGTGCCTTAATTTAGATCCAAAACGATCAAAGAATTCGTGCCTGCGATGTTTAGTTAATTCATGCACCTAAGTAGTAATATTTTTCCTCTAACCGTCTAGGCTATTGAGATTTTTCAGCTCAATGTTTAGCTTTTTTCATATGCAATGAAACCCTCGATCCGAGAACTTTTTCCCAAATTTTTATTGCTTGCTAGCAGTCAGCAGTGCCTTTTGTATCTCTTACAGACCCACATTCACTCCTGCTTCAAACTCGTTTAGACAGCGAACTGGTTACAAAGCTGTAAAAAATCCACCCCAATCTCCCATCAACACTTTGTGCTCACACTGATGGGTTTTAAATGGCGCAGTGTGGTAACTGAGAGGTCCTTTGAAGTTTGAGTGACTTCACTTATTAGGGGCTACTGGATGCGAAAAGCGGTAGATTTTTTGGCACCCAAGACATTAGCGTCATACTTGTGACAACCACATCACCCTTCTTAAAACCTGACGAGGGCGAAGCTATCAGTCAATAGGGATTATGGCATAACAGTTGGTTTTTTCGCAGTAATGATGAGACATTTTCATATCCTAGGAGTGTATTCTAAAGAGAAAGCGTTACATCCACCACTGAACCTCATTCTAACTTGCTATGAGACATTGGGGTTGGGAAGCTACAAGAAGAGGTATTCTGGGAACAATTTCACACAATACAATCGGAATCACAAACTATTATAAGGAGGACAAGAATTGTACAATTGAAACATCACTAAGTTACAAAATTGAATTCAGTTTATGCAGTTTTGTCGGTGGTCAGCAGGGTGTCTTGTAGAGCATCACACTGACATTTCCCACCTGAACAAGTAGGTACGTGCTGACCTCGTGGGTGACATAGCTAAAAAACGGGAAGAATGCCTCATACGGTGAGAATAAGTGATTTTTAAAAAGCTAATTTGATGTCATGAGACAGAAATCCTCAAAATGACCACTGTTGTTCAAGAGTACAGTCAAAACACGTTAGCTAGGCCATGCTTACTACTGAACGACAAAAGTGCCGGTTAATAACATAAAAAGCAGAAACGAATTTGGCGGCCTAAAATTCACTCTCCTTAGATAAAGAAATTAAATAGGTAAGGGTTTTCTTAAATTTGCTAAAATAAGTATCCAGTATGACAGCGATAAGCGAAGCGGTGAATATTCACCCCAAATGCTAAAGAATTTGCAGTGCGAACCAAAGAGAATTGTCTTATTTGAAGTACGAAAGATTCGTGGCATAAGATTATTGAATCAGAGACAAAAATGTACTTGAGAATTGCCAATTTACTACCATGTATAGAGCCGAAATGTGACCCAGTATAATTTGTTGAGAAGTGAGCAATTTTTGATTTATTTGAAAGATTATGGAAAACAGTCATATTCTGTCTTCGAAGTAAAAAATGCTATCTGCGATATTCACTGAATGCAACTCTTGGAGAAAGTCGTGGTGTGAAACCTATTATTTACAATCAAGAAATAAAACGCAAAAATTATGCCCCGTTTTTTGGTTTAATTTATCATAACTTAGGGGTTTTGAGGATGCACAATTTTAACAATTTTCGGGTATTTCAGTGAACAATTCCAAACATTGGGGCAAATAAAGGCACTTTTCCCACCAAAGCGTTAATGGAGAATAACTGAAATTAATCCTCGTGGAAAATGCATCATAGATTCCGCTTAATTCTTGTGTGAAAACGGTTCAAAACGGTGTTTACTTTCAGAAGCCTCAGAAAGAATCTTAGCTGCCGAAAATGAGAGAGTGGGAAAGATGACAGCATCGCCCCATAATGAAATTGAGTAAATTTGCCAGGCCTCATGCATACTAATAAAATTGCATTAAATAAGTCAAAACAAAACTTGCCTCGTTGTCAGATACACAGTAGAAGTTTTTGCAAGCTACGAAACACGATTTAAAGCTGTTTGATAAACTCTTGTCCATTAAACATCTCTTGCAATTAATCTGCTAATGTCAATTAAATAAGTAATAAAATTATCGGGGCAGATGACTGGAAGTTACAGCAAATGCTATCATGTCCTTATAACTAAAAAGGGACCTTCTATGATGAATTTGACTTTTTTCGTTCTACTAAACCAACCAACGAGTCTAAACGCGGCCTTGCTGTCATGGGCACGGTAGTCATGACAACATTCTAATGACATTTTAAAATTATGAACTTGGAAACCTGAACAGAACCATTTCGCTTTTGCTCAAGGCTTATTACATTAATTGCGGAAAACTAAGTCGGACAGCTAGGGGGAAGTAAAAGCATTTTGCAAATGATGAAAGCACGAAATTACGTGACTGTTTTATGGGAAGAATGCCATAGTGGCTAAATATTTCTGTAATTAATATGACCCGTCTAGTGTAACTCCAATGAATTCCTCTTTGAAAAAACGCAAGCTAAAAGATAAACATTTTGAACTCGAGTAATTTTTTTAAAACTTTTGGAATATGTGTGGCTTCTTCGAGTAATTTGGGGTGTAGAGGTGCCCGCGAATGCAAATCACTAGCAAATTTCAGGATGCATTAAAATATTAAAATCATTTAAAAAACCATAGTTCCTATCATGCATAGACTTTTAAAACTTAAAAACCCAAATTTACACCAAAACAATGGCAAAATGGATATATACACTTGAAGATAATTAGGCAGGACATACCTTGCAAAGTGTTTTCCAACAATACACTGCCAAGCCCGTCCACATTTGGAATCAAAGTAGGCTTTGACCATTTTGGCCACTTGTGCCTCTTTGTAATGAATGGAAAGTGCCTCTGCGATGACATTGGCAGCCTCTTTTTGCTGGGCTTCGCTCATATCAGTGGATCGCACGACCAGCTGGATGTTATGATCATCCATTTTCGCGATCTCATCGAATACATTCTCTTTCCTGTTCATGCTGTTGCCTGTCTTTTGCTTCAGATATCTGCCTGGTGTTAGTGTATATGAGGCAGTGAGAGTGTGCGTGTGAGCACGGTGAGGTAATGTGATGTTTTCGCTGCCAGCGTTCCACTCATGTGAATCACTGAATCATCGCTATCATTCTCACCGTCATCACACCGTGCCCTCCTCCCTCAGTTTGCAAGTTAGTAGGCTTGTGTGACTTTCATTAGCCAGATATATGCTTGGAATTCGTACCCTGTGGATTAATTTGGCAAATTGCCGGCGCGTGTGTGTAGAAACCCAGACGTGAACATTTTCTCCCGACTATTAAATGCTTCTTAAGCCAGAAAAAGTGCCCAAGGAGGTAACAAAAATATTAAATATATACCTTAAATAAAAGATTGAATTATAGGCCTTTAGAAAGAAGTTCTCAGTTTCTGCCAATCTCAGCATTCAATAATGTGGGGTGATGGCATCATCTGCCTACCAGTTGCCATGCCTCTCACTGGCAGTAAGCTTTTTGCAAATTTCATATGGAGATGCGTGTAAGCCTTTCTCGTGACTAATGTGTGCACACACAATACCCCACCTGTAACAAACAACGGGACAATCTGTCAAAAACAAAGAAATTTTTGGAAAATTCCCAGATAATTTGTCCACCATTTACTTGAAAAGTCGACGAGAATTGTGACAGATTAACTGATCATCTAAAGGCCCGCCTCCACTGCTTTCACCATGAGGAATGCTTAGCTAAGGACGCAAATAATTGAAAGTTGGTTACCAGTGTCTTTTTTTAACTAATGCAAGAAGTTTTTGAGTGAGGCGTCAGGAATCAAACTGCCCACTACAATTAGCCCATTTCCATGCCTGACTGGAATTGAAAAAGTTCAACTGTCACAGACACGTCGCATCATAAAACAGTGTAAAAGAGTGAAAAATAAGAAAGGATTTATTTGTGATTGTGGTGAATTAGCCAGATTTGAAGAGCAGAATAGCCACTTGGCCCATGTAGAAGTAGATAAAATTCTTTGTTTCATGTGTCACGTAGCTAAAAGGAAAAAAAGATAAGTGAAAAAATGTCAAGTGAGGCTTTTTAATGCAGTAATGCTACAAGGTGTGTCAGTACACACCTTCCGAAATTTCGACCAACAATGCAGTGCCAGGTGGGGCTGTAGAGTTTGTCGAACTCCTTTTTAAGGTACGCCGCGATATCCTTCTCAATGGTGAACTGATTCATGGCATCTTTGGCGCAGTCGATAGCCCGTTGCTGCATCTCGTCTGACATGTCAGCATTCTTAATGATTGCCTTGCTGGCGCTCGTTGAAGTCATGGCAGTTAGTGTGTGAGTGTACTCATCCAAGTCACCGCCACTTTATACTCGCGGTTTAGTGCATAACCAAGTGGATGGTTCAGTAGCCTAGCCTCAGGCACCACCCTTAACACTTTTAGCGGAATGCGTTAAGGTAAAAATTTGCCGAAAAAGACTGCACTTTTTCTATTATCTACGGTGACTCTACAATAGGCTAGCAGTTTTGCCTGCCCCCTTGACCTGATGCTGTAATGTTTGACCAGCCATTTCCATGGTTGCATATCACCTCATCATTCTCTGTCCGTCAAGTATAAGTCGAGACAAGCCTTGATGGTCAAGTAAGGCCACACTGATCGCCTTTGAGGAGTCAGAATCGCTACAGTACACAATGTAAAGACACCTTTAGGGAGAAGATTGCTAGAAAATTTCTGCAATTTCTTTTTTATGAAACGGTCCTAAGAATGGCTTAAAAAAAATACTAAGAGAGAGAGGGTAAGTAATTACTATCAATACCTTATAAGAAAACCCCTCTTTGTGTGGCAGGCGGTCAGATTGGGCTGAACTCATCACTAAGAAGCTGTCATTTATTCCCGAGGACTGAAAATGGGAGGAGGAGACAAACACTGGTTTTTGCATGATCCCACATTGCCACAATGCAGGATCTCTATCTCTAGACAACCTTCTCGATCCAAGACTGTGAAGCTGGAGGCCGACCTAAATGAGACAGAGACAAGATTAAACAATACTTATTTCCAAACTGATCTCAAATTTGAGTAAAATTTGCTTAAAATAAAACAATGCTAAGCATTTGGTGGACGGATGCAGAGGGACTGGAGGACATTTGTCCTAAATTATTCATTTAATTGACTTTGTTTTGTAAACTAGTACCCACCACCACATTCCTAAGAATAAAAGTAAAAAATGAATCCTCTTCAAGTGTTTGTCTTGTTCACTAACCCCATTGAGGTTTTTTGAAGTTGAGCGTGGATGTAAACACAGCCTGCCAAGATACCTTTCAGCAGACCCGGTTGGGCCTATTGTGTGCCGAAATTACGAGCATCTTGACTGGATTTATGCGCTTTTGTGTCTTGATAAGAAAACTAAAATACCCGAGGAGAGATTACTAAACACTATAGCGATCAAGATTCACCCTGGAACCAAATGAAAAAATGGATTACCGGGGGGTACTGAAAGGGATAAAAGGAAGGCTCAAGTATTTGCAAGAGGAAAAAACGAGGCATAAAGGAGGGTCTTGCCTAGAGGTTATTAGAGAATTCACGTGCTTACCCCTGCATCCAAAACACACAGACAGACAGGGTAGGGCACACATCTGAGGCTAAGCTACTGTATAAATTGACCCATATGGCTAATATAAAACCAGAGTATTTTGGTGACCACTGTGAAATTTGCTTGAGGTGACGTCGGTCATGCAGAGCTACGGTTCGACTAGAAAGGCTGCCATTAAGAATGCCGATATGAGTGAAGACATGCAAGGGAGAGCTGTCGACTGCGCTCAGGAGGCCATGTCAAGGTATAACATCGAGAAGGATATCGCTGCATACATCAAAAAGGAATTTGACAAGACATACACACCAACGTGGCATTGTATTGTGGGGCGTAATTTTGGCAGGTGAGACATCTTAAAACGCCGTTTTTTACCACCGGTATGAATATTCACCAAGTAAATTGCGTTGTTTTTAGCTATGTGACCCACGAAATGGGGCACTTCATCTACTTCTACATGGGACAGGTTGCCATTCTCCTTTTCAAATCTGGTTAAATAACCTTTTTTTTAATAAAAGTTCTCTGCTGTGTTTTGCACTTCATGTTCTGCAAGGAATTTTCACTTTTATCATTCCTCGGAATAGCATACCTTTTTAGTGGTTTGAATGAACCACGTTAGGTGGATGTTTAATTGTCACCCTTATTCATATGGTAGACAGGCGGATTCGTACTGAAGGCTCCTCCGATGATTTGATCCTTCGAGACAATCTATAATTCTTTGCCTCTGAGGCAAGACTTGCGGTAAATTTTCCTCTGATAAGCTGTTTTGTCTTCAAATGTAAGAAAAACTCGGGGTCTTGTGACCTCTGCTTAGATCGCTGTTCTACTTCTTGGCTCTCTATTATCTATTCTGTATGCCACCATGCGAGTGTCTAGTATAAAGACCAAAAAACAGCGACTAGCATCTGCTGCTTGGGGAAATTAAACCAGAGAAAATATGGAATGTTAAAATGAGGTTAAGGCAATACTTATCCTGTAGCAGAGACCCCCTCACTACTGGACTTTTCAGTTGCTTGAGTTGAGGCAGTTATCGAAGAGAATAAAGGAACTACAAAGCAAGGATTTGCCCCCAAGCTATAACAAACTCAGGTGAAATAACATACCTTCATGCTCGTGCACATATGCAGGTTGGAGTGCAGATTTGAGGGGAAGCTACCGCATAAAGTGACCCATTTGACAAGCATAAAACCAGTCATGTGGCAACCAATGTGAAATTGACTTGAGGTAACGTTGGTGGTAAGGAGCTGGCATTAGGGGGCGCAGAGGTTATCAAAAAACAAGGGAGTATGCTCAGAGGAATATGCCGGGCTGGGTTGAAGCAGAGCAAACATACTTCCCCTCTTAGCCTAAAGTTCCGACCTTCTCATTAATAGGCTTTGAGATGGTTTGATGCCTTCGGTGATCTTGCAAGAGTAGGGATAGAACTTCGCCTTGATTGTTTAGGCCCACTTGTTCTGGTAGTTTCTCAAACAGCTCTTCTACCATTCAATTTTATTGTGTCAAGCCTTTGGAGGGAGAACAACTTATCCATTACGTATATATACGCACACACGCAACAAGCATCGACTTCTGGAGATGAAGGGATCCCTGCATTAGAGGTATGGTGTGACTAGTATTAAGTGTATCAATAGGAGATAACCACTTGTATGTTCGTTTGCTTAATAAACCTTAAAATGTAAAAGCCATAAGTGTAATTTTCCGCTACAACGCCCTAAATAATTGCAATTTGTTTTCATCTGTTAATGCCTACTCTACGAGAGTTATCATTTCTCTGACCTTTAAATTACTCTATCAATCATTTCAGTACTCATTGCAAAACACAAGTGAAAGTTATCCCTCTTGCTGCAAGCATTACTAGAATGAAAGCCAAACGGGTTAAATCACTTGTATTTGAGTTGCTTCTCACCAGAATCACACTTTTAAAACCATGATTACATAGCTTTTTTCGCTACACCAACTTCTTTAAATGTTGTATCAATAAATTTTATGAGAAGTTTAAGCACCTATGCCACAGGGTTAAAGTCCATCCATGGACTAGACAGGCTCAAGTCACATCAGTCAGATTTTATAGACAAGCATAATGTGATAGTGCGAGCAGACTGAGCAGTTCTGTGCTGATTAACTTGCACATATCTATCTAGGCACAATCGCACACCCCTATAGACAACTGTGTGCCATCCAAAGGTCCTCTTCACAGGTTACACTACATCGTTTTCGCAAACTATGCCAAAACAACACCGCTGTGTTTTTGTGCAATCGAGGTACAAAGCGATTTATTTGCTGAGTTAAATTGAAGATAATGATTTGATTGATGCAAAAAAACTATCTTTGAAATTTTTTTTTGTGATAACAGATTGCAGCATTAAGGGGAAATGATCAAATAAGTGCTACTGTGGTCATGCCTCTTCATTGATACCATCCCTTCAGTCATTATGAATAGGTGCAGTGAAGGAAAGTCTACAAAAGAAAACCAAAAACTCTTTGTGAGAAAAAAAGTTTTTCCTAAAAGATGGACGTTTATTCAGCATGTTTAAGTCAGTCTTTTTATTTTATTCAAAAAGAAAAGCCATCGACTTAGCATTAAGACAACTATTAAGGAATCTTAAACAACTAGTCTCCTCTTTATTAAAAATTATTCAATAAATGCGTCAAGTTGAGGGATTTAAGTTATAAAAAAGGCGGCACGTTTTATGAGCAAACACTGATTGAAAGTAAATTCTTCATCGAGGCATTAAACGCGCAAAAGTGTAGAAGACTCTACTGATATTAATTTAGTAGCCGCGCGTAAATATTTGTTGGACAAGGTTCTTGAGTGAAAAACAAATCGAGACATGCTGAGATTGAATAATTAGGGATATTAGAGTTACACGTGGTCTATTTAAAGGAAGCAATTTGGGCAAAAGGGTATCAAAAATTTTAGCGCATAGCAGTTAAGCATTCAAAGTAGTTTTAACTCTACTTCACGGATGAAAAAAAGTAAACTGTGCTAAAGATATGTTTTTTATACAGTTTTATTCGTTAACCTGCAAAGTAAGCGGGCCAAAACTAGTTGGCTCAAATATGTTCATAAAATACCAATTGGTACCCTTGGTTTGGAGTAATGGAAAACCTCCTGGGTTGTGACTACTTAGATAAAGCTACCATCGGTATATGAAACACGTGGAAGGAACAAATGCATGTTTAACATAAAAAGAAGTACGGATGCCATATTGCAGTAGGAAGACCTCTAATAACCCTTAATATTCACCTAAAACCTACAATGATATGCGGTGATAAACTTTTCATACACACACATGTGTATACACGCACACATACTTCACTTGACAATTGAGGCTAGGCTACTGAAGCAGTCGACTCATTCAGTGAATGTATATATACACCCGTTATTTCGTTGGAGGTGTTGTGAAGATTTTCTCAGATTTACATTAGCCATGCAAAGTTACGGTTCATCACAGAAGGCTGTCATCAAGAATGCTGATATGAGTGAAGAGATGCAGCAAAAGGCGGTTGATTGCGCTCAAGATGCTATGGAAAAATTTAACATTGAGAAAGACATCGCTGCGCACATCAAGAAGGAATTTGACAGACTGTTTAATCCAACATGGCACTGCATTGTGGGCCGCAACTTTGGCAGGTATATTGTTGCTTGCAATATATTTTCCCGCCCATAACTCCTTGATTATCCCATTTAAAAGTCCTCTCATACTGTTGCATTTATCACTTCAGCTATGTGACTCACGAGACGAAACACTTTATCTACTTCTACATGGGTCAGGTTGCCATTCTCCTCTTTAAGTCTGGCTAGAACTCTGAGGAAAAAATAAATCTCTTGGTATATAATCCGCCTTTTCTTTGGCTTTCCAGTTATTGGGCACAAATTAGGACAAAATCCGCACAACCGTACACTTAATAAGTGTTTACATAGACAAAAGAGACGACGGATCTTGGCCACATCATCATTGTGGCTGACTTGTCACCTTTTCTTTACTTCTGGCTGACTAGAATACATTTCATAGGACCAATTGTTGGAGTTAATGAAATATGTTATTGCTATAGTCAAGTGCAAACTGCAGCAAATGTAGTGAAATGCAAGCGATAATATGTCAGGAAATATTTGACGTCAGCCAAAAAGACTTGCACAACTAAGGACCCAGCTAATTAAAAGGGGTGAAATGGCTAAAAATGTCAACTTCTTGAAGAGAAGCAGGACGCTTCAAAGGCAGAATCACTCGTTCTACTTT